GCGGTGCGACTCTATGTGGCCCTCATGGTTCTGTTTCTCATGACTGGGGGCGAGCAGACATGACTGTGGGTATTTTCGTAGGGCAGCGCCTCTCCGATTTTACCACCGAGGGACTCCTCTTGAGAAATGAAAAATAATGCTCAATCCAGCCCTCCAAATTGGCTCACCTTAAAGGCTATTTCTCTGATGACTCATGTTTTACCTCTTGGAGATTTTTCTTTCCATTTCACAATATAGCCGTGTTTTCTCTAATAGAAAAATAACTCTGGCCAGAAAATCCTTGAGTAAAATCAGTGCCCTAGGAAGTTAGACTCTGAGTTGCCTGGCTGCCTACAGCTTCTCCTTGGGGATTTGCTGATTCTAGATTATGAAAGAAGGACTTGTGCAAGTCCAGAATTCTAAAATATTTCCCACAGTCATGTGGTTTTATGGCGTTATGAGCAAGTTCCTTTATGCCTTGTCTTTAAAATGGACATTTTGGGCCATGACAGTTTGGAGACTGTTTAATTGCTGTTTGAATCCTTGTAACAGGTAAAGGTCATAATTGTGGGCTTGATTTTAATGCCATACTCCATTCCCCTTATGTGTTCAATGTTGTTGTTGTTTTTTTAATGTTTATTTATTTTGAGAGATAGATAGTGAGCAGGGGAGGGGCAGAGAGAGGAAGACAGAATCCCAAGTAGGCTCTATGCTGTTAGCACAGAGCCCGATGCGGGGCTCAAACCCACAAACCATGAGATGGTGACCTGAGCTGAAATCACCAACTGGATGCTTAACTGACTGAGCCACCCAGGTGCCCCAACGAGATGGTTTTCAATAGAGCATGGAGGTTGTGGTGATTCCTGAGCTGAAGAACGTGCTTTAGTCCTTATTTCTTCCAGGGACTATCCACAGTCCCTTCTCAGTTACAGTCACTTAGCTGAAGCCTAATTCTCTGAACATTTTCCCATTAGCTCAACTATACATATATACACACATTGAATAATGTTTGGGATGAGAAGTTGTGTTAAATGATGCTGCATTTGTATTTGGAAGGCACTCATTGTGAACAGTGAGCTGGTATGAGGTGGAAATGTGGAAAGTACCATAAGGATTTCCGTTTAAATTTCAGATGTGGGGCTCTTCAGGTCCCTGGAAGAAGGAGGGGCATCTGCTGCTGCCTTCTCTCTCTTCTTGGGTTTCTGCAGAGGTTTGGCTGCCACAGAACTTCCCTTAGAAGCAGGCAAGAGAGGTCCCATCCAGCCCTGTTCTTTGGAGGGTTCTGCTCTGCTTCTCAGCCAGCCGTGGGCCTCAGCATGGCCGGGAGTCTGTAGGGCTGAAAGGACATGCTTACTTGGAATGTGTAGGAACAGCAGCATGGCCATGACCCAGGTACCCGGGCCCCCCTGAATGCCTTGTTCAGACAGCTTGGACAGAGTATATATAGGTCTCCTTCTTAGGTCATTCCCCTATGGGATCTGCTGCCAGGGTCCCTCCCTGGTCTGCTGAGTGGCCAAGGCTGTATTGGGGTGGGTGGACTTGGATGTATGGATTGGGATGTCTACCTGTGTGCCCATTCAGGACCCCTCCTGATATGTGGCTGGGCAGGGGACAGTCCAGGGGGGCCATCTTAGAGGTTAATGTAGGCAGGAAGAGCACGAACCACACCAGGGTCTTCTCTACGCAGGTCCTTGGCGGGACAGTACAGCCGGGGCTCAGACGCTGCTCCCAGAGCCCGGTGCCTCTAGAGGCTTCCCCTCTCCCCAAAGGGGACCCACACAGCACGTGCATCTTCATGATGTCTGGGGTGTGTCCAATGCATGCCACCTCTGTCCTGTGCCTGGCTTTTGTCCTGGAAAGCTAGATTCACAATGTGGGGGAATTCCTCAGGAGTAGGAAGGAAATTCCTCAAGGTTGTGGGAAATTCTTCCAGAATAGGGAGGCGTTAATAGATGCACTGTGGCCACAAAGTAGGAATAAATGCCCCTTCCGTCTGCACTGGGGCCCTGGGCCTTGCAGAAGCCACTTGGGTTCTGGTGACAGTCCCTCTGTCCCCCAGCTGTCACTTTTCCTGTGTCTGTGCTGGATATGGAGTTCCTTGCAGACCGTGTGATGCGCTATGTGAAAAGCGGGGCGCTTTTGTTTGAGGCCTGTACGTTCATTGGTAATTCGTATACTTGATCTCTGCTTTTGTGATTTAGTTCATGTTGAAATTTGTTATTCTAGGTCTAGTAGGACATTGCTTTATGCTTCAAATCCACATTTCCGTTTTATCTTTTTAAATTTTAGAGAGAGTATCAGTGTGCAAGTAAGGGAGAGGGGTAGAAGGAGAAGGAGAGAGAGAGAGAGAGAGAGAGAGAGAAGGTTCCATGCTCAACTAGGAGCCTGGTGAGAGGCTTGATCCTTAGGCCCTGGGACCCTGACCTGAGACAAAATCAAGAGTTGGATCCTCAGCCTACTGAGCCACCCAGGTGCCCCTCCACTTTATCTTCAATAAACAAGGAGCTTCATGTGCCACACGATCATGGGGTGATGTACCAGCTTCCAGTTTCCAAATACGTTATCATCGCCAACAAGCAAGGGGAACTGCACCTCTCATGTAATTGTCATAGAAGACTGTGTTTCCTGTTTTGCACCTTGGGGCACTGCAGGGAATAGACCAGGCTGCTGGAGGCAGGGGCCGACCGATGAGGCCTCCTGTCATGCCAGACCCTGGCTGACCACCCTGGTTGGGCGTCAGCCCCTCAGTGCACCTCTGGGCCTCTGCACAAGAGCTGGGAGCTGCCATGGAGAGGAGGGTAGGCAGGGTGGGAAATTGCCTGTGGAACGGACGTCACTGCCCCTACGGGTAGGGCTTGTTAATTTCTTGGGTGCATTAATCGTTTCCCCTTCCTTAATAATTGTTCTTTGTGGAAAATTCATCAGAAAAATAACACAGTGGAACAAATACATGACGTTTTTTATTGTCAATACTTTCTAAAAAATGTTTTGAATTTTACTTGTAAACCAATTGCAAAACTCACGGCAGGCTTTGCTCAGTTGCTTCTGCACAAGGGAGGTTGACGTGGCAGGTATCCCTTCTGGCAGGAATTGCTCCAAGTGTCTGGTCCCTCTCCATCTGCTGTCCCCCAGCATCCTGCCTGGCTTCCGGGCTGTGTGTCCTTTGTGTAACCCCTAAAGTGGTAGCCTTCCTTCTCCTGGGGGGTTCCCTTGCATTTCTCTTCTCTGACACACACTGAGTATCTGTATTCTGTCCTTTCTCCCCCTTGATTCGAGGCCAGATTTTTGTCCCCGTGTAGTCGAATGTGAAGATAGTGGATCTGTGAATCCCTCCCTCCCTCCCTTCCTTCCTGAGCTCTTACCACATGCAGGGTAAATAGGATGGGGCCCCCTCAAAGGAGTATGGGAGAGTATGGGAGAGGGAGAGGGTCCATTCTGTACCTTTCTCTCCTGGTCCAGGTAGGGAAGGCCAGCAGCTGGGGGAGCCACTGATGCTGTCCAAGCCTTGGGTCCCAGAGCCAGAGATCTGAGGCACTGGGTGCCCTGTGCCTTCTGTGACTTGTGGTCCTGGGCACGGAGGACAGGGGCCTCTACAGGGGCCCCTGGGGAAGGCTTGGGGTCAGAATCGGCTGGTTGGACGTTGCAGAAGAAGCAGGTGGACTGGGAGCAATAGAATAAAGTGACAGTCCTGGGAAGCCCCTGAGAGATGCCACGGAAGCCCAAGGTCGCGTCCTTGCAGCCAGGCAAGGAGAAGACCCTATAAACCAAACAGCAGAGGATGGGAAGTGGAAACAGAATACAAGCGTTCTTTTTAAGAACTTTCTGGGGCAAAGAGGAAGAGGGAAAGTGAAGTGGTTTAGGGGAGGTGGGAAGTCAATTCTGCAAAAGGTTTCCAGAACTTTCCAAGTAAATTCATTCCTCTTGCCCATCCTCCCCCACTCCCATAATTCCTCTGACATCCCCCAAGCAGTTGCCCCCTGCTGCACTCATTTCCGAGCCATGCTGTGGAGATCGGGAGGGCACTGTGCCTTGGACAGGGGACAGGAAAATCAAGGAGTCTTTGATTCTGTGTTCTGTACCCTTCATGTGGATAAGCCACTGGGCCTCTGACCCCTTAATGTTATGCTGTGTATCTTCTCATAAATCTAACGTGAGTAATCAGGCAGTAGTGGTTAGTCTGTTTAAATGACGTGTTTGTGTTGCATTAGTCAGGCCAATTTAGTGATTGGACATTAAAAGGCCTTATGCTCAGCCTTACCAGCCTTCAAAGGCCTAAGGAAATGAATCAGACCTGAAGAAGATGTCAGACTCCAAATATTAAAAGGAAACTGTAAAACCAGGGAAAGGATGGTGGAGCGTCAACTGGACCTAAGAGCTCAGCTTTTTGGAAGTGGTTTCAAACTCTGCAATTTGGAATGCAGGTGCATTCATATGCCTGATATAAGGAAGGCTGAGGACCCCCAGTGTGCCTGGTCTTACAGAGGGGGCCGTTCATTTCCTCCTGGCACCTGGGTCTTTCTCTGCGCTTTATTCTCCAAGTGCATAAAGCAGTGACGTCCCCGCAGGTGGCCCCACCTTTCTGCTCCCCTGGGGCTGGTCAGGGACCACGTTGTGTGCGTTTTTTTCCAGAAGAGACGGTGCTTGTCCACCTGTTGGTATTTCTCACACCCGTGATTTGATTTTCTGAAACCGTCGTCTCAGAGGACTGTGGGACATCTTGCTCTTTATACATGTGACTCAAAAATCTGCATCTCCTCTCTCGGCCCCTCCACCACTCATGTTCTCTCTCTCAAAAAGTAAAAAACATCAAAATAAAAAAAATGTATGACTCATTTTTCTAGCCTCTGTTTTTTTTTTTTTTTGGACACTTGAGATCCATGCAGCGGTTGGTCGGTGACTTGAAGCTTCCTCATTTGGGCTTACACGGGTGTGTGTGCTTCCTTCCTTAGGTAGATGAGCCCCTTAAAGATGCTGCCTCCATCCTGAGAAGCAGGACCACCTCACTCACCACTTCACACTGCTCCGAGGTCACAGAGCTGCTTGCCCCCGAGGGCTCACCGGCCTTTTCTCACAGACAGCTGCAGTCTCCAGCCTCAGCTTCAGGTGAGCCGGGCATAGCTCTCATCGCATACCGAATATTTGATGTCTGTCCATACGTTTTCCGTGGGGACAGCTCCATGGCTTTATATGATTTCTGAAGGGGTCTCTGGCCTCACACAGGGTCACTGCTCAGTCACTTTCCCAGTGACCAGGCCACTTTCCTGTCACTACAATTATGACCTGTGTGATGATGACTCCCAATGCGCTGTATGCTCTCCAGTTCCAGCAAATTCCAGGCCCTGTGTCCATGTCACTCAGATTTCAGTTGACACTCAGGTTCTCAGTCTCTGTTGGCAGCAACACTGCTAGCTGGCCCCAGGAGGCGCAGGCCCCGTGGTGCTGGGAGTGTCACCCTTTGGGCATCTCCTCAGACCATCTGTGGGTTCTGGAACCTGTCCTTACCCTTGCTGGGCCCACCTGAATGAATAGGGGCTGGTGTGTCCCAGACCCCCTCTGTCACCCTTCTTCCATGGGCCTCTGAGTGGGTGTCAGATACGCCCCTTTCTGTCTGTCTCTCACTGCCGCTGGCTCCCACCTCATTCCTACTCGTCTAGACTTCCTTTCACAGCAGCCGCTCTCCCCACCTACCCTCTTATCTCTGCTTTGTATTCCACGTGGGTGCCAAGATTTTGTAAAACATGAAAATCTGATCATATACCACCCTGTGGCTTAAGTGATTTTCTTTTTGGCCACCTACAAAGTGCAGTCATCTCCACAGCGAGACTGTGTGTCTGGGCACTTTGGGCTTCCCTAGCTTTGCCTCTCGACCTTTGGTTTATGCTCCAAAACGGGCTGATCTCTGCCACGGGCTCACCACCACCTCCTGAGGTTCAGGTAACACCTCATCCGAGAGCCGTCCTCCAGGCTGAGTGAGGCCCCCGAGGCAGACTGCTTGAGCCAGACCCCGGCTCATTACTCCCGTTGGTTTTCAGGGCCACATGTAGGTGCAGGCACGTGGTGGATGTCCAATACGCAGTTGTTGAGTTCAGCAGTGAATGAATAAAGAGATAAATGGATATCTGAAAACATTTTACCAAAACTTGTATTTGTCATCAGCACGAGGGTGATTTATAATAGCTAGCATTTGAGCGTCACCGCTCACAGTGACAACTCATTTAATCCTCACAACGAGCTGGCGACATATAAGTACTGCTGTCCGCACCCCCATTTGTCAAGTGGGGAACTGAGGCACGGAGGCTGAGCTCTTATCCCATGTTCTGCTGATGGGGTGTGTGCGACAGACCTGTGATCCCATGTGACTTCTACTTAAGTTGTGACCATCTTGAGGAGTGGGTTCTTGCTTTCTTATTTTATTTAATTATTATTTTCTTTTGTCTCTGGCACCAGCACTCTGCCTGGAATATGGCAGAACACAGACATTGTTGAGGGACTTCCTTACTTAGCCACACTTTCACCTGTTGGCAGTCAGGTTTGGCATCACTCTTGGGATTTCTGTGTTGTTTTGGGGCCTAATGGGGTTTGTGCTGATTTTTGTCAGGAGTGTGGTTAGTTTAATCTTGGGTACAGTACACCTTTACTTCCCTCCCTTCTGCTTCCTGTCCTTAGGTCATGTGACCCTTAACCTCATACCACGGCCTGGTGACTGATATGGATTCAGAAGGTCCCCTGGTCAGGGGAAGGGGCCACTCCCTCCCCTGCTTTTGCCCAGAGCACTTCTGGGGCAGGTGAAGCAAAACCAGGCCCCTTGGGGCTTGGCTCCTGCGTTTTGTAGACTAACAGAGCGGGAATGGCTCAACGATCATCCAACCCCTTGACCACTGGTACAGATGAGGAGACTGAGGCCCAGGGAGGCCTCATGTCCAATATCCCACTGCCCTGTGGTGGCAGGCCTTGGACTTGTAAGGAATCAGCATTTACCTACAATTAATTTGGAATTAGATCTCGAGATACAGTCTATATATAAAATTCACCCTGGCATGTTCCTTTCCTTCCCTGTTGAGTAATCGCACAAGTCAGATCTTGTAACTGCATGAAGTAGTAGCTGGCATGGTTCAGTTAGTTCATAGTGCCTTTATGTTGTTTTAGATAAAGTAACATGAGCAGTTGATTGGCCTGGACCTGGTCATTGGGAAATATTTTAACCCTTTATTTTCTGCCTCTCTAGCAGGGTGTCTTAAAACACTTCTATATGGTTATAGGAAGAGCTAATAAGCCAGGCTGCTAACAATCTGAATACAGTTTAAAGGCACATGTACTAATAATGCCAATTAACCTTGGCTAACTTGGTAGAAGGCCAATTTACATGAATGAAATGTCAGAATCACAGGATATTTAAGGAATGCAGTCTTACTGCTCTGAGGTAGGTTTCAGGGCTTGAACCAGGCTTCAGGATCATCATCCTCATGCTGGGGATTAAACTGAGGAGACTATAAATGGGAGTGTCTATCATGCTTAGAAAGTCTTTCTTTTTTATTTTCTCTTGGCATTTACATAAAAAGCACATAGTGACTTTTTTTTGTGCATTTTAATACCACTTCTTAAATAGAACATTTCCCAGGTAATATTCAAATGATTGTGCACCTTTAGAGTCTGAATTAGTGATGGCTTAGTTACAATATGCTTTATGCTTGAAATTAACTTATAGCCTCAGATAATACAGGCAGATTTCATCTCCTGTAAAAATTAATGGACAGGTGTTGTTAAAACGTGAAATTATACGGTTAACTCCAGACGTTGCACCTGAGGTTGGGTTAGAGGGGAGAGCTATTTCTTTTGTTAATTTTTTCATTGTTCCATGCAAATTTATTAAGGGCTTGAGCTCCAAGCGTAGTGGGATTCTGTGGGGGCAGTGAGGGGCCTGTCATGGTGCCTGCCCTCATGAGGCTTCCTGTCCTGGCGTAACCACAGTAAGATGTGCCGGGAGCTCTGAGCTGCGTGAGCACAGAGGAGGAAGGCCCAGCTGGGCTGGGGTCTGACGGGGGAGGACGGTGATGGGGCTGAGACCTGATAGATGAGGGAGGTGGCCAGGTGAAGGGAGGAGGGACTAGGGAAGGCAAAGGCTCTGAGGTAAAGGACAGGGGGATGGGAAGGTAACTGTGGACTGGGGTGGGGGGCAAGGAGGCGGGGCATTGAGTCTGGACAAGAAAGTCAGAGCCTCTGGACAAAGAACCTGTATGCTTTTGCTGAGCAGTTTGGATTTTGTTGTGTGCACTGGGGAGCCAGTGGAGGTATTTTGAAAAGGTCATTTGGTAACTGTGGGTCTGTAGGCTCTCTGGATGAGAGGGAGGTGGTACGTCCACAGGCAAAGAGACCAATGAGGAGTCTGTTGCCATCATTGATCCAGGCAGGAGCTGGTGATCGCTTGAGCTAGAGGCATTAGCAGTGGGTGTGAGTGATTGGGGCCACTTGATAGTGGGTAGGGTGGTTAAGAGAGCTGCTTTTGGGGGGGGTGGCGGGTTCAAGCCATTGACCTAGATCTCTCATTGGGTGGAAGTATGTGTGGCCTGTGCAGGGCAGTGCTGTGCCTGTCATTGAGGTGGGGAGATGAGTTTGGTTGGGAACCTACTGAGTCTGAGGTATTCACGGGCCCTTGATTTGTGCAGTCATTCACTGGAGGTACGAGACTGAAACTTACGTCATGCCCTGTTCAGGAGCACCTGCAAGGAATGTTCTGAAGGAAAATGAGGCTGTACTGAAAATTAAATTCATTTGAGTTTGAGAAGTTTAGAAGGGTAGGAAAATTTTTTTCTTTTTATATCCAATTCATATGATTTTAGTGGGCACGTTTTCCTTCCAATATCAATCAAGTACCTAATGCGGTTTTACCCCCTGCTAGGTGATGTGGACAAAGTGTTATGTAGTTAAAATCATAATTTACCAGGACCTCGGTTCAATCTGTAGCCCTGTCGCTGACAGACACCTGTTGAGGCCAATGCTATGTTAGTGTGGCCTTATAAACCATTCAGGGGCTGTGGAGTCTTTTTTTGTTTTTGTTTTTTCCTTTGTGATAAGATCAATATATGTTCACTGTAGAAATTTTAGATAGAAAACCTCAAAGAAGTGAAAAACCATGCATTTTCTTTATATAGTTATTATTTTTGAAGTCTTATCTGATGCATCTCTACATAGGTATATCATTTGGTACCAACGATTTAGTATCTTACCTTATAAAATGAAGGTGTGACCTTTGAGCTGGCCTGGGAGTATGGGAAGACTTTTGCATGTGGGTCCTAGCAATGGGGTACATTCCAGGTGCAGAACAAATCCCCACAAACAGAGGCAGGCTGGTTTAGGGCCTAGCCACTCGGTAGGAGCATAGATTAGATTGGGAAGAAATTTGAATGGGAAACAAGACGGGAAATGAATTTTGGGACAGATGATGGATGTTTTATTAATCTTAAGTTGTTTGAATTTGTCCCCAATTCTGTCCAGAAACATGATCACATTGATGTAAGGGACTAACCCATCAGTGGGGCTTGGGGGTGGGGTGGAGGCAGGTGGGAGTTAATGTATATGGTTTTAGAGATTTTTCTGGAATAGTAACATTTTTATTTTGGTTTTTCTTCCATTCCTGTCTTTTCCAGGAGAATATGAAAGTGTTACTCAGGCTTGTGGGTTTCACAGCTGTACTGATTTCTTCTCTGAAAGCCGGTAAGTTAAGCTTTTCCTTGTGTTCTTATTTGCTGAGAAACTCTATTATTTAGAATTCATGAAGTACCTTCCATGACAGAGTCATTTTTCCCCCTCTCCTGTTGTATTGAATCTGTGACCTCCTGGTCACAGAACTGTACTGCTGGATGTTCCTTCCTCATTCTCTCACTTACGGAAAGGGAAACTGGCCCAGTGAGGTTACGAGCCCAAGCTCATGTAGCTCGTGTCAGAGCAGGAGCTCAAGTCCAGGTCTCTAATGTCAGGGCCAAGCCTTCTCTGACTTTGTTGCTGATTAAAGAGTGTGATAGGGGAAATCCTGGCTCTCATTCAGAAGAATTGTCAAAATTTGCTGTTATGAACCCACAGCTGGAAGCCATCAAGAAACAGTTCTTTGTTTTTTCACTGCTTCTAAGACTTTCATTATGCATATGTTGGTATTCTTTTTTTTTAATCATTGCTTTGTATATGCATATATATACAGAGGTTCCACACCCAACATGGGACTTGAACTCATGACCCTGAGATTAAGAGTGGCATGCTCTACTGACTGAGCCAGCCAGGCACTCTTATGTTGGTATTCTTGATGGTGATCTACAGGTCTGTGAGGCTTTGTTCAATTTTTTATTCTTTTTAAGACAGGATAATCTTCCAGTAATCAGTTGATCGACTTCTAGTTTACTAGTTCTTTCTTCGGCCAGTTCAAATCTGGTGTTGAGCCCTTCAAGTGGATTTTTCATTTTAGTACTGGACTTTTCTACCCTGGAATTTCTATTTGATTCTTTTTGATAATTTCTTTTTATTGATATTCTTTATTTGTTGAGACATTGCTGTCATACTTTCCTTTGATTCATTAGACATAGCTTCCTTTAGTCCTTTGAACGTATTTATAATAGCTGATTTTAAAGTCTTTAGTAAATCTAATATCTGGACCCCCCTGGGAGTTTCTATTGGCTATTCCCTCCCCCTCCCCCCCCACCCCCCCCACCCCCCGTGGACAGGGAATACTTTTTTTGTTTATTTGTATGCTTTGTTGAAAACAGGCATTTTAGGTAGTATAATGTGGTAACTCTGGAGATCAGATGTGCCCCCTGTGATCCCTCCATGCCCTGGCTCCCATACACAGGCTTGTTGTCATGGTTAGTTTTGTTGTTGTTGTTACTGCTGCTGCTGTTCATTTGTTTAATAACTTTCTTGGGCTAATTCTGTAAAGTTGGTATTTCCTGTAGTATGTGGCCACCAAAGTCTCAGTTTGGTCTGCTAATGCTTGGTCAGAGATTTAATTAAAGTCTTCAACCCTTTGCTGAAGGGGCTCTATGTGTGCTGGAGTATGCCTTCGCCTTCAACAACTAAGCTGTTCACTACTCTGCTTTAGCCTTCACTTTCTGCTTTTGTATGACCTTAAGGTCATCTAGATTTGAGAGACTAGTGCCTTCTCTGGTCTTACTGAGTGTGCTCACAGCCCTGTATCCATGTGCACTCATCTAGCCCCTTGTAGACATTTAGCATCCCAGATCTTCCTTTTCCTTTTGAGAAGACTCTTGTTTGTCCCAAATGGTATCACAGCCTCAGGTAGCTGAAGTGTTAAACAGTTGCCACTGATTGATTTTTTTTTTTTTTTTTTTTTTGAACAAACACCCTGGTGATAGGACTTTTCCTGTAGACCTCCAAGTCAGTACCACTGTTTGGTTTGGTTTGGTTTAAAGTTTTTATTTAAATTCCAGTTATTTAACATACCGTAATATTAATTTCAGGTGTACAATATAACGATTCAGTACTTCCATGTAACACTAGTACTCATCACAAGTGGACACCTTAATCCCCATCCTGTATTTAACACATCTCCCACCCACCACCCCTCTGGTAACCATCAGTTTGCTCTCTACAGTTAAAAGTCTGTTTCCTGGTTTACCTCTCTTTTTTCTGATTTCCTCCTTTGTTTTGTTTCTTAAATCATGTACATGAAATCTTATGGTAATCTGACTAATTTCACTTAGCATAATACTCTCTAGCTCCATCCATGTCATTGAAAATGGCAAGATTTCATTCTTTTTTATGGCTAATATTCCATTGTATATAATACCACATCTTCTTTATCCATGCATCAATTGATGGACACTTGGACTGTTTCCATAATGTGGCTATTGTAGATAACAGTGCTGTAACCGTCAGGGTGCCTGTATCCCTTTGAATTGGTATTTTTGTATCCTTTGGATAAATACCTAGTAGTGTAATTCCTGGATCTTAGGGTAGTTCTATTTTATTTTTCATTTTTTTTAATGTTTTATTTATTTCTAGGAGAGAGAGAGAGAGCGTGAGCAGGGGAGGGTCAGAGAGAGAGGGAGCCACAGACTCTGAAACAGGCTCCAGGCTCTGAGCTGGCAGTCAGCACAGAGCCCGACATGGGGCTTGAACCCACGAACTACAAGATCATGACCTAAGCGAAAGTCGGATGCTCAACTGACTAAGCCACCCAGACGCCCCAGGGTAGTTCTATTTTTAACTTTTTGAGAAACCTCTATACTGTTTTACAGAGTGGCTGCACCAGTTGCATTCCCACCAACAGTGCAGGATGGTTCCCTTTTCTCCACATCCTCACCAACACCTGTTGTTTCTTGTGTTGTTAATTTTAACCATCCTTACAGGTGTGAGATGATATCTCATTGTAGTTTTCATTTACATTTCCCTGATGATGAATGATGTTGAGCATTTTTTCATGTGTCTGTTGGCCATCTGTATGTCTTCTTTGGAAAAATATGTGTTCATGTCTTCTGCCCATTTTTTAATTGGATTATTTGTTTTTGGGGACAAAACCACTCTTTGTGACTTATCCAAGGAGCTCCCAGTCAAGTAAATCATGGCACTGCTCTGAAAATAGGACTCTTTCAGGAGCTCCAAACCTGGTCTCTTCTTGAAAGCCTGCTGTTTTTCACAGCTGTTGGGTTTTTAGGGCTGCTGATTTTCAAGGCTATAGTGGAGCTGGGAAAAGCGAATGACACTACTTTACGTTACAAAGACAAACTGTGCTGTTCCGCTGAGATTTAGCTGGTGTTGTTATTAAATAAATATGTTTGGGGGTTTTTGTTTCTTTTTTTTTGTTTTGTTTTGTTTTGTTTTGTTTTTAAGAGAGAGAGTGGGGGAAAAGGGTATAGAGAGAGAGGGAGAGAGAGAATCTTAAGCTGGCTCCACACTCAGCATGGAGCCTGAAGCAGGGCTTGATCCCACGACCCTGAGATCATGACTTGAGCCAAAATCAAGAGGCAGATGCTTACCCAGCTGAACCACCCAGGCACCCCTTAAATAAATGTTTTGATTATTGCAAGCCTTTGATTTGGAAAAAAAATTTCCAGTCTTTTTGTTGTTTTTATGGAGGGGTGGATTTATGGAGACTCACTGCATTCTGGAGATCCTGCCTCAAATGTTCCTTTTTTTTTCTTTTAAACATAAGGATATCTAATTTGTTGAAAAGACTGTATTTTCTTCACTGAATTTCCTTTTCACCTTTGTAAAAAAAAAAAAAAAGCCAGTTGAATATGTTTGTGTGGTTTATTTCTGAGACCTCTTTTCTATTCTGGTGACCTATTTATCTCTATCCCAATACTACACTGTCTTAATTTCTGTGGCTTTATAATAAATGCTGAAATAAAGCAGTGTAACTTCTTAAAGTATTTTTTTAGAAATCGAAGTTGTTGACTAATTTTATATGAATTTAATCCTGCTCATATTTGGGATAGAATGGAATTGAATATAAATCAATTTGGGGGGAGAACTGACATTTTGACAAAATTGAGTCTTCTCACCCACGAACAGATTATACATTTCTTCATTTACTTAGAAGTATTTAAGCCACATTTTGTAATTTTCATTGGATAGGTCTGAAGCATCTTTTGTCAGATTTATCCTTTAATTATTCATATTTTTGATGCTATTAGAAATGGTGTTTTAAAAAATTCAGTTTTCAACTATTTTTTGCTTGTATATACAAATTCATTTAACAATACAACATACATTTGTATATACAAATACATTTAACTTTGCATATTTGTATTATATCCTACAACTTACTAATCCTTCCAGGTCTTATGTAGATTTCATAGCATAGTCTACATAACATAGACAATCATGTTGTCTGCAAATAATGACATTTTTCTTTCCTCTTCAATCTAGATACCATTTCTTTTTCTTGCCTGAATTTACTAATTAGATCTTCCAGTATACTATTGAAGTGGTTAGAGTGGACATCCTTGCTTTGCTCCTAATCTTACTATATATGATTAGGTGTAGGTGTTTTATACCTGTCCTTTATTAGGTTCAGAAAGTTCCCCTCCATTTCTGGTCTGCTGAGAGTTTTTATCAAGAATGGATTTTGGATTTTGTCAAGTGCTTTTTCTGCATCTATTGAGATGATCATATAATTTTTCTTTTAAGATATGTTCAAATATGGAATTTCATAGATTTTTTGAAAGATGTAAACCTAACTTTGTGGGATGTTGTGTACATTATAATGCATTACTTTTTTTTTTGATATATTGTAGGATTCAATTAGCTAAGATATTTCAAAAGCAGTTTACGTCTATGTTCATGATGAGGCGGGGTTTGTGGTCTTCTTTTTTTGTCATGTCTTTGTTTTTGACATTTGAATAATGCTGACCTCTGAGTAAATCAGGAAGCATTATTGACTCTTCGATTTTCTGGAAAACTCTGTATATAATTGGTGTTATTTCTCCCAGTGAAGCCATGTAGGCCTGGTTTTCTTTTTGGAAGTTTTTTGACTACAGATTTAGTTTATTTAGCATTTACAAGGCTCTTCAGTTTATCTCTTTCTTATGAGAAACAGTTTATAGTCTGTCTTTCAAGGGTTTTGCTGATTTTATTCAAGTTTTTAAATTTATGGGTATAAAATTGTTCATAAGATTTTCTAATTATCCTTTTAAAATACTTTTAATAAGAGATGTCATCCCTCTTTTTTCCTGATTAGTGGCTAGACATATATAAATTTTATTGATTATAAAACTGAAAACTGAAAGAACTAGTTTTTGGTATCTTTGACTTTATTGTTTTTCTGTTTTTCATTTCATCAGTTTTTCTTTCGGATCAATGTTATATAGGATATATGTTTTTTCTAATTTCTTAAGTGGAAGCTGAAGTTATTAATTTGAGATATTTTTTTCTTTTGTAGGCCTTCAGTGCTATCTATTTTCCTCTAGGTACTGCTTCATTGTATTCCACAAGTTTGATATGTTGTGTTTTCCTTATTCAGGTTAAAATACTTTTTAACTTCCCTTTTTTCTTTCTTTTTAACTTATGGGTTATCTAGAAGTGGTTTAGTCTTCAAATATATGGGCGATTTCTAGATGTCTTTCTCTTATTGATTTCTAATTTAGTCCCATTGTCACCAGGGAACATACTTTGTCTAATTTGAATCCTTTTGAATTTATTGAGTATTAGGTAATGAACAAGAATATGATAAATTTTCTGTGTCCTCTGCTCTGTTGGGTAGAATTATCTATAAATATCAATTACGCCATGGGCACCTAAGTGACTCAGTTGGTTAAGCATCAGAATTCAACTCAGGTCATGATATCATGGTTTGTGAGTTCAAGCCCTGCGTCGGGCTCTAGGCTGACAACTCGGAGCCTGAAGCCTGCTTCGGATTCTGTGTCTCCCTCTCTCCCTCTTAGCTCTTCCCCTACTCATGCTCTGTCACTCTCTCTCTCAAAAATAAACATTAAAAAATTTTTAAAAATTGATTATGCCAAATTCATTGATAGCGCTCACATCTTGTATATCATTATCATTATATGGCTATTGTCTGTTTTTACTTGTTCTATCAATTATTGCGAGTAAGGTGTTGACATGTCTGACTATAATTGTGAGTTTCTTTATTTCTCCTTGAAGTTCTATCAGTTTTTGCTTTAACAGTGAAGCACTGTTAGTAGGCGAATAAACATTTAGAATTACTTGATAAATAACTCCTTTATTATAATGAAATGGCCATTTTTATCCTGGTAATATTCTTTATTATAAAATTTGACTATATAATAATCATTCAAACTTTCCTTTGATTAGTATTATGGTGTATATTTTCTCTTTTTTACCTTTAATGTATTTGTGTCTTTATACTTAAAGTGTGTGTATGTGTGAGAGTGAGTGCATATTAGACAACATATAGTTAGATCCTCTTTCTTTATCCAGTCTAATTATCTCTGCCTTTCGGCATTTAGACCCTTAAAATATTTTAATACGAGTATTACTACATTTGGGTTTAATTTAGAACCATATTTTATTTTCTGCTTATCCTTTTTATTTTTTTCAGATTTTTGCTGCCTTTTGAATTGAGAATTATCATAATTCATATTTATCTCCTATGTCTGGCTTATACTAATAGCTTGTTGTTGTTTTTTTTTTTTTAAATAACTGCTCTCAGGATTATGGTACCCATTTTAACTTACTGCTGTCTACTTTCAAGTGATACTATACTATGTCACATATAGTATAAAAAAATTTAGAACAATATACATCCACTTCTCCCATATTGAACTCTGCCTTATTGTTCCTATATGTTTTACTTCTTTATATGTTATAAATCTCACAATACTTATTTTTAAAATTTTTGCTTTAAACATTCAGTTATCTTTAAAGATATTTAAATAATAAAAATTATTTTATAAGTACCCATGTAACAAACATTTCAGGAGGAATTTATTCTTTTATATAGATTCATTTTTCATCTGATACTATTTTCCTTCTTTATGAAGAACTTCCTTACATATTTTTATATTTTAGCATAGATGTACTGATGGTGAATTTTTATAGCTTTTATAAATTTGAAAAAAGTGTTTAATTTGCTTCTGTTTTTGAAAGATACTTTTACAAGATCATGAATTCTAGGTTGGCAATTTTTTCTTTTAGTACTTATCTTTATTTCACTCTTTTCTGGCTTTTATTGTTTTTTTGGCAAGAAGGCTACATCATTTCTGTGTTTAGTGTATTTTTCTTCATTTTTTTTGTTTTTGTTTTTGTTTGTTTTGTTTTTGTTTTTTTGCTTGGAGTTCATTGCGATTTGGGGATCTGTGGGTACATTATTTTAACAAAAACTTAAAAGCCTGCCTGTATTTCTTTAAGTACTTTTTATGTTTCACCCACCTCTCTTCTTCTTCTTAGGGATTAATATTACATTCATTGAAGTTATCCTGCAGCTAACTAATTTTATTTTGAAAATTTTCTGTGTTTAATTCTGGATAGTTTTTAATGCTATGCTTTTAGGATCATTAATCTTTTTTTATGTATTGTCAAATCTTCCATTAATCATATCCAGTGTTTTTTTTTAAGTCAGCATTGTAGTTTTCATCACTAGAAAATTGATTTCAGTTTTATTAAAAAATCTCTTCCATCTCTCTACTCAACATGTTTGGTCTAGTATCTTGAACAAATGGACCACAGTAGTAATAACTATTTTAGTTTTTCAATCTATTCTATCTTCTGTGTCAATTCTGGGTCAGTTTTGATTGACTGATTATTTTCTTCTTCTTATTGATTGTATTGTCCCACTTCTTTGCACACCTGGTAATTTTTGATTGAATGCTAGACATTATAAATTTTACCATTTTGAGTGCTGGATATTTTTGTATTACTTAAAATGTTTTGAACTGTTCTGCCACAAGGTTATTACCTGGGAATAGTTGATCTTTTAAGATTAATATTTTAAGCCTTATTAGTCAGGATCAGAACAAGGTTTTATATGGGGCCTAATTTGCCCCAACTGTTAGGTCAGAACCTTCTGGATACTCTACCTGATGCCCCGTAATTAATGAGGTTTCTCATTCTGTCTGTTGAGAACAACAGCAGTTACTAGCATGTGTGTGCTCCAGTGGGTATTCACTCTAATCCTTTTGGCAATTTTCACTCTGGCCTCGCACTTTTAATGTGCTCATGCTAATTGGTACTCAGCTGAAAGCTTGAGGGAGACTTATCTCCAAAACTCTCTATCTATACAGTTATAATCCTTTGGTATTCTGTCCTGCAAGCTTATGGTTTACCTGGATTTCCAGGTCTATTTTCTCCATTCAGAGAGAACACTGGGCTTTGCCTATGTTTCCTCCTTGCAATGTCATGACCTAGACTCTTACTCTAGGCAGTAACTTGAGGAAATTGTAGGGCTCACCTATTTTGTTTTCCATCTTTCTAGCACTTCTGTCTTTTGTTCCCTGATGTTCAATGTCTTGAATATTGTTGCTTCATACACTTCGTCCATTTTAAAAATTTTTTAGGTCAGAGGCCAAATCTAGTGATTTTGTACTGAAGTAAATATCTCTCCTGCTACATTAGCACCAAATTTTAGATGGATAAAGAAGGGATAAGAGAGGTTAAATAGCTTTCCCAAGTACATACAGGTAGTAAGTGACACGATTAGATTTGAATATAAATCTTTCAGACTTTCAAGATGATATTTTTATGTAAATTTTCCTTAAAGTTTATTTATTTATTTTGAGAGAGAAAGAACATGAGCAAAAGGGAGCAGAGACAGGGGAGAGAGAGAATCACAAACAGGCTCCTCACTGTCAGTATAGAGACTACTGCAGGGCTCAAACACACAAACTATGGGATCATGACTTGAGCTGAAACCAAGAGTTGGACACTCAACAAGCTGAGTCACTCAGGTGCCCCCAAGATTGTATTTTTAATCTTAAAGCTGTTAAAACTCACATATAATATAAATTGATGTATATTATAATTGATGGGTGTATATGTAGATATTACATTAAAAAACAGTGATAAATTTCTCATGGAAATTGCTTTCCCTTTTTCCCTTTTAAAGATATATGTCAGGAACGTGAAGAAGAAGTAGTTTTAGTTTCATCTGCATATGAAATAGATGTTCGTTCATGTCTTCTTAACCCAAATGAAAAGAAAGGCACTATAATTTGGTATAAAAATGACAGCAAGACACCTATATCTATGGAAGTAGACTCCAGGATTCATCAGCACAATGATAAACTTTGGTTTGTTCCTGCTAAGGCAGAGGATTCAGGACATTACTATTGTGCAGTAAGGTAAGAAAGCGATTAATATGTTACAAACATGTGTTCTGTGTGGCTGTAGCGGTTAAGGACTAAAATCTCTTTAATGGTGCTTAATTCATCAATTTTGATTTATTTTAGAAATGCAACTTACTGCCTCAAAATTAAGATAACCGCTAAGTTTGTGCAGCATGAACCTAACTTGTGTTACAATGCAGAAGCTATATTTACACAGAAACTACCCGTTGCAAGAGATGGACAACTTGTGTGTCCTTATTTGGATTTTTTTAAAGATGAAAAAAATGAGTTACCCAAAATACAGTGGCATAAGGTAATTTTATGTTAAGTACGGTATTTTACTTTTCTGTCAAATAAAATAGTAGTCTGTCCTGGACAATAGGGTGAATCTGTAGAATACTTCTTCATTTGACATGTTGTTTGCTTTTGTGTGTGTAACTTATTAGAAATTTTTAAAAAAGTTGTAAGACTACATACATTTAATTTGTAGCTTAATAAAAATCTTACTTTCTCTTAATTTAATAAGATTGAGAAAATTATAGTAGAAATAAAAGATATTTAAAAATAAGACTTATTATAAATTTAAGGTTTTTAAGATATCCCTATTTATTATAAAATATTTACTTTTTTCTTTATTAAAAATATTAAGTGGTCCTTAAATAACTTAGTGGTCTTGAAAGTAGATTGACTAGCACTTCATGGAACACATTACATTTTTTGGTACCTTGATCTGCCTAGTTGGTTGGAGCTTGGGTGGGGAATCATCTTGCAGGGGTTAAGAAATACAAAATAAACAGTGTCAATGAAGAAAGGAAGTACAGTGTTACTAAGAAAATACGATGTTTCCTCAAACATGTTTTTCTTGCAAAGTACATTTGTCTTCACTTGTCTTCAAAGTGCATGGCTCATAGGCATAAACATTTAATATCCTGGAAACATCATTGTGAGTATTGCCAACAATACACTATATTAAAACTTGTATGTAAGGAACATAGTCATATATATATATATATATATATATATATATATATACATATATACATATATATTCATACATATGCTGTGATCATGTGCCTGGTGCAAAACAGAAGAGAAATAAATAGGCATATGATGATTATTTTTGTAAATTTTTCTGGGATTTTCAATTCACATATGTATAAATATATATGAATTGTGTGTGTGTGTGTGTGTGTGTGTGTGTACACACACACTCATGCGTAAAACATTTACCAGTGTGAGAAAACAGCTTCTTTTGTTGGTAGGCTGGGGGAAATCATTAATTGGTTTTCAGTACATCCTTCTTCTCCCTCTGTCTAGGATTGCAAACCTCTACTACTTGACAATAAGAACTTTTCTGGACTGACAAATAGACTCATCATGACAAATGTGACTGCAGCACATATGGGGAACTATACTTGTCAAGCATCCTATACATACTTGGGAAAGCAATATCGTATTACCCGGGTTATAGAACTTATCACTCTAGGTGAGTCCTAGCTCTAATCCCGGTAGTTTGAATCTGGGAAGGCCCGGAAGCCATGATTCTAATATTGCCTTCATTGTTCATGGAGGAACCAAATCCAAGAGCAGCTTGATGACTTGCCAGATGTCATGTGGCTTTGGTTTCGTTTTTGTTGCTAATACTGTATCTGTGTTTTGCATTCCTGCTTCAGAGGCAAGGCTAATCAGACCAACAGTAAAGAGCTGTTTTCCAACGGAAGTAAGAGGTGTGTTGTTCTCTGGCATGGCTAAAGATGCTTCTTCCAGAGAGCTCTGTGGTTCCCTGTGGCCGGTGTACGAGGAAGAGTAGTTCCAAGCACTTTGGCTTGGGGAGTCTGAGTGTGTAGCAGTGAGAGTTGTTGGTGTGATGGGGTGAACGCTGATGGGCTTTGGATCACATTGCACTCCCAGAGCACGCTCTACCTCTTGTTAGTTTCTTGTTAGCTCACTTGACCTCTCGAAGCCTGTTTCCTGTTCTGTAATGTGACACAGCCTTCCAAGGTCATTGGGGAGATTAGCAGTCAAGCATGCTCAGCTTGTGGTCGTGTGCCCAGTGCAAAACAGAAGAGAAATTAATAGGAATACGATAATTATTCTAGTAAATCTTCCCGAGGCTTTCAATTCTCTATTAACTACGTATCACCTTAGAAGCTATTACAAGAAAATGCACTCCTACAAATTACCTGGGGATGGTCAGAATGCTCAACCTTTCTGCAAGTATCAGATTTTGTAAGCTGTCAGTAATAGAAGAAGAGTTACTTTAATCAGGACTTTAAAAGTTAAAGGAGTCTTACTAGTAATTATGCTGAGACAAGAGGCATAAATGAGGACTATCTTAGATAATTCCAAAATATGATCACCCTACCTATAGCTAGGTGTTCTCAATAGTCTAATAATTTATATTTTTAAACATTAAGTTTATTGAATCACAATTAATTCCTTACCCACGTCCTACAAGCACCAGTGCATTATAATTTCCAATAGTGTTTATATCACAACCACCCTGAGATTTTAGCAGCCCCTCTCTGGCCGTTGTGTAGCTCTGGCTTGTCTTTCTTGACATATAGCCACCAGAGCGGCAGACAGTGTTTTAGAGAGAACTAGGGAACTTTTAAGAGAGCTCAAATATGTTTTAAATACCCTCAGTCTCCTTTTCTGATCCCTTCTATAGAAATAATATACTTCATCAGAGATGAGGTCACATTTTGTTTTCATAAAGGCAGATTCAAAAATATTAACTGAGCGTCTCCTCTATGCCAGGCACACTGTTCTAGTAGGTACACATTAGGGGACAAAAGAGACAATATCCTGTTCTGATGGGGCTTCCTGTTTTGTTGTTGCTTTGGTTTGGTTTGGTTTGACTGTGGTGGAATCCGGGGCATTCCAGTTCATAGTTTCTCCGGCTTGGCCACAGTTCAGCTTTTGAAGCTAATCTTCTTGTAAATAAAAGTCAGATGGGTTTCTGGAGCCCCTTAATGCTTTTCCGCCCTTTTTAGTAAATTATGCCAAATTGCTTGTCATTCCACTCTTGGGTCATTACTAAAATTACTAAATACAAGCAGGTCTAGCACTGGACGGTCCTTCTGGGTAATAATGCTTCATCCACGGAAGTGCCTTTCCACAGCTACTTGCTTTTCCTGATTTGCTTTAAGAGAGGCACTTGTCTGGACTCCTGGCGATGTGTGTGTCTGTAGCACCAAACTCCAGGGGCTCAGCAGGACCCAGGCTTTCTGGCGGGCATTCATGGTTTTGCAATGGCCTCTGTCGTGGCCTCCTTCCTTCACCTCTTGCCTTCTCTCTCCTGCCATACATACGCTGGGCTTTCAGGGAAATATTTGACCAGACTCCATGTGATATATTTTGGTATATTTTGCTAACTGTCGTCATCAGTTGAGATTCTGCTCTCTAAGAGACTAAGAAACCCTGCGGATGTTTGTCTTTCAGAGGAAGACAAGCCCGTGAAGCCTGTAATTGTGAGTCCAACTAATGAGACAATGGAAGCACGTCTGGGTAAGTGGGCTCCAATCAGGATATGCTCAAATCATTATTTTGAACTCAAGGGTTAGATCAACTCTGCCTTTACCACATGTAACCTAAATCATTTACTGAATATGCCTGTAATTAGTGGGAAACCGTGGTACAGTTAATGTCTTTAAATGTTTCTTTGGATTTCTGGCCTCTCAGGACAAAAATCTAGCCTCGTCTGATTTGTCCACTCTCACTCTCCTGTGGATACTTATTACCCATGGAAACACTAGCCAAAGGCCAAGTTCAACACGACTAGAAATGAGAAGTGTAATTTATCTGACTGGCACAGGATGGATTTCTTATGTCCGGAAAAACTTAAAGTTTTTAGACAGAAGAATAAGATAAGAGACTAAAAAGGATAAGTATTTTTTTCTAGGATGACCATAAAGTCAGTGAAAATTTTTTATTGCAGGAAAAATAATCTTATAAATTTATATATACATAATCTATATATTACATAATCTTGTAAGCATCCAGACATAAACTATACAGCGCAGTAACCACCAGCGATATGTGGCTGTGGACATGTAAATTTAAATTAAGTAAATTAGTTAATTTAGTTCGATTAAAAATGAGTTCTTCAGTCATGGGAGCCATATTTCAAGAGCCTAATAGCCATATGTGGCAAGTGATTACTGCATTAGCATAAATATAGAACATTTCCTTTGTCCCTGAAAATTCTAATGAAAACCACTGGTCCAAGCATAAATACAGATGTTTATATCAGAGGATCAAAAACCAAGCTGGCATACAAAGTTCTCTTCTGTGAAGACCGTGAATAATTATACAGAGATCAGAAGGTAAAAGTTTGTGACCAATGGATGCTGTATGTGTCCAAGTCATTATTAATGATGGAAGGTAATATAAAGGCATTCATAGTTGTAAAAAGAACAAAGACGTGAAAACTCACAATTAAATATAAGCCAACAGAATCTAGAGCAGTGTTCCTTAATCCTTTTTTTCCTCTGCATTATTGCTCCCCTGTAGAGCCTAAAAAGGTATTTCCCCCTTGCCCCCACCCAATCTTCTTCCCTTCTACAGTTTTCTAATCCCACAGATATATTGTATATCTGTTGATGTGCCGTGCCCTTTGCAGGGCTACAAACCATTGCAATATCTAAGGATTTTCTTGCCTTCTTCCCAAGATCCACTTTTTGCCCTGGTGGCCATAGCCCCTGTTGGGAATTCTTATTCTAGATTGTGTACACTTCAGAGCACTATAGTTTAGGCGACATTGATCTCCAAATCTAAAAATAGCCCTATATTCAGAAACATATTTTAATATATCATATTTTATCATTTTTAATATATCATGTTGGTCAGATGCACACATCACCCTGTCATATGATTACCCTGAAGGTCGAACAGGCATTTGATAAGATTCAATATGAATTACCAGTAAAGTAACTGAGGAACTGAGGGATACTTCCTTAACTTAATAAATAACATCAATTCAAACCAATAGTCAATAACATTCTTTTTTTTAATATTTTTTTTTTTTTTTATTCCTGAGAGAGAGAGACAGCGTGAGCAGGGGAGGGTCAGAAAGAGAGAGAGACAGAATCAGAAACAGGCTCCAGACTCTGAGCTAGCTGTCAGCACAGAGCCCAACATGGGGCTCGAACCCACGAACTGTGAGATCATGACCTGAGCCAAAGTCGGCCGCCCAACCGACTAAGCCACCCAGGCGCCCTGGTCACTAACGTTCTTGATGATGAACCACTGTAGTGTTTGACTTTCTACAGGTATAGACTCCCTCCCCTCACTGAAGTTAAGAGCAAGACAAAGATGGCCACATAACCAACATTACTTAATATATTGTAGAAGTGCCCACTGATACATACTTACTTACTATAAGTAAGTAAGTAAGTAAGTCATACTTACTGTAAGGGAGAAAAGGACTTTATTATTAAAATTAAAATTAATATATTAATTGGCTAGATATAAAATTAATATTCTAGGTATAGCAGATGTCCCTCCAGCTCTGGTGGTGTGCCGTGGGGAAGACGTGGATTTGTGAGCCCCAGAACAAGGGCTACGTCTTTGAAGTCACTGCTGTGCAGAGGAGACGCTGGGTGAAGCCATCATCACCATGTCTGACTGGGAGACAAAGCCTTCAAGTGGGGACTTGTGGGATAAGAAGGAAAGAGCATGCATTAAACTCAGAGTCGGACAGGATGGCAGTGAGATTCACTTTGAAGTGAAGATGACATGTCTCAAGAAACTCTAAGAATTATACTGTCAAAGACTGGAAGTTCCAGTGACTCCACTCAGGTTTCAAAGGTCAGAGAAATGCTGATAATCACAGTCAGAAGGAGCTGGGAATGGAGGAAGAAGTGATTGAAGTTTATCAGGAACAAACAGGGTCCTTCAGTGGTTTAGATATCTTTTTATCTTTCATTTTTTACCCCTTCAATCCCTTTTTACTTTTAAAAATACTTCTTTCATCTTGTGGTGTTCAACATGGAACTGAAGACTGGCACCTTACCTCTTTAAAACTTCCAGTAATTTGAATTCTAGTGTCCATTTGTCATCATTTGTTTTCATGGTGCTGATTTTTGGTGATCAAACCTCAGCCTCCTTCCTTTGTCCTCTCCTTTTTATAAATCACGTGTGTGCACAGAGGGGCCATCTTTTCCAGGCCTGTGCATCTTCAGGCTTGTGGCGACTAAGACTGGCCGATGTGAGTGTTCATAATGGCTTTCCAACTGGCTCTGAAGTTCCAGCACGATCGCTTCTCTCCTGGACTTGTGGCTGTCAGTGGGAGACAGAAGTTTCTCAGAGAACTGAGCGGTGGCAAAATGGCCTTTCCTTAATGTAAAGCTGCTTTTAAAATCTGGGGGTCTGGACCCAAAGAAGAGGAATGTAGGGTTGGAGTGGAGTTGACATAGAGATGGTACGAATACTAACTAACTCCAAAGATGGTGTCACTGAAGAGAAAGCGTTTTAAGATGAAAGAAAATCTTGTCAGAAGATCCCTGAAAAGTTCTGGTTTTCATAAGCAGTGAATAAAGTTATTCATTCACAAGTGTATACCACAGAACAGTGCACTCTTTTATTTTATTTGTACTTTTTGGCCTGGGATATGGGTTTTAAATGAACATTGTCTATACCAACTTAATTAAAATAAAATGCTTGTAAAAAACAAAATCAATAGTCTAAAAATGATAAACTTGTTTGGCAATAACCAGCTAGAAAACGTAATGGCTTGGAAAGAGGTCCTATTTGCAACATGTCACAAAGATATCTCTAAAGTTTCTTAGCAAAATCTTTTTAAAAATAAACAGGATTTAGAGGGGAGAAAAGATTCTGACATACAAATCTCGGGAAAATTGAGATTTAAAGCATACATATTGACAAGGAGTGGGAGCTATGTTGTTTCCAATGAGGAGAAAATTGGTACTTAGTGGGAAAAAATCTAAATCAATAGATAGACTGTATGTCTGAGGCATTAAAGATTTATGGGGAGGTAGTCAATTAGGATAAAAATGTCTAAAATGGCTCAAAAGGGAGCAATAATGGAAACAATCTTGAGAAACACCAATTTAAGGAAAACTGTAATAGAAATGTATGTTTTTCATATATGGAAAATTAGAAATTATAAAGATATCAACTCTTAAAATTATAGCTTTAAAAAAATTTTTTAATGTTTATTTTTGAGAGAGAGAGAGAAAGAGAAAAAGCAGGGGAGGGCAGAGAGAGAGAGGGAGAGAGAGGGAGAGAGACGGAATCCGAAGCAGGCTCCAGGATCCGAGCTGTCAGCACAGAGCCCAATGTGGGGCTTGAACCCATGAGCTATGAGATCATGACCTGAGCTGCAGCTGGATGCTTAACTGACTGAACCACCCAGGCGTCCCTAAAATTATACTGTTAATGGAATTCCAGAAAAAATATGAATGGGCTCAAAAGTTTGCAAGTGATTCTAAAATTAACCAAGAATATTAAAAAGATGAGATTATTAAAATAATATTGACAAGAAGAGCTCTAAATTATACCAATATTTACCGTAAAACTGTAGCAATTAAGATTGTGGTATCCTTGGCATCAGTATACCCACTCAGATCAACCAAGAGAGTCCCAAATAAATATTTTATTTTATAACAAAAGTGGCATTACAAATTATTTTCCAATAAGGGGTTCTGAAGTGATAAATGAGCTATTTGGATAAAAACATGAAGTTAAGTCTCTCCTTCACACCATACCCAATTACATTCTAGACAGAGTAAAGAACTAAAACAGTCAAAACAATTGCAGCAGTATATACCTCAGTGAAAATGGACATGGATATTTTCCTGATTTGGTGGTAGAGCTTTAAGAAAAAAATTGTGAAAACAGATGAAACAGAAATTTGATGGAAAAAAAAATCTACACCAAAGAATTTCCATTAACAAATAAAACAAAGGCAACAAACTCTGAAGGTTATTTGGAATAGTTTTCATGTATGATAAAAAGTTAATATCCTTGAAGAATAAAGAACTCCCATACAGAAGTGAGGTTAATATGAGAAGCAATTAAATAATGGACAGTAAGCATAACAAACAGTTCTTAACCGCAGACCAACACTGAGCTTCTAAAAGATGTCCATTCACCATGATTTCAAGAAATGCAGATGAAAATTTAAATTTTAAATTTTTTCAAAGTTTCTTTATTATTTTGAGAGAGAGAGAGAGAGAAGGGTAAAGAGAGGGAATCCCAAGCAGGCTCCACACTGTCTGCACAAGCCTGATGTGGGGCTCAACTCAAGAAGCGTGAGATCATGACCTGAGCTGAAATCAAGAGTCAGATGCTTAACCAACTGAGTCACTCAAGCACACCAAGAAATGCAGATGAAAATTTAAATGGCGGTTTTAATTCTCTCATTGGACAATCATTAACCAAAAATATTTGGAATCTGGGGGGATTGGGGGTTAGCTAGCACTTGCATACCCTGCTGGACAGAGTGCAGACATGTACAGTCTCATTTGGAAGAAGGAGGAGGACTTTTAAAATATGTTTATCTCTTAATTCTACTTCCAGATTCAAAGTAATACTTCAGGGTATATACAATATTGATGCATAAGCATATTCATTAGAATATAGTCCCAATAATGAAAAATTAGAAACAAATTGTGTTTAGCAATAGGAAAACCATTAATCATAGTAGATCTGTATTATGGAGTTCTAAGTATTCATGAAATGCCTCTTTTGGAAGGCTGAGCTGAAGTTCCCAGTATACAATGTTTACAAATAGCAGACAACAATGTTCCATTTTAAAAATTGCTCATATGCACAGAGAATGAGATACATGAGGTTACTAATCACTGTTATCTCCAAGTGGTAGGTTAAAGGGCAATTTTTGTTTTTCTTTGTACTTTTCTAGAATTGAAAATTTTTAATCAATAGCCATTTACCAATCTAGATCAGATAAAAATCAATTGCTCTGATTAAAAATACATTGTTTTGCAGGATCCAAGCTACAGTTGATCTGCAATGTCAGTGGCCAGCTGAGTGACTTTGTCTACTGGAAGTGGAATGGGTCATTAATTGATGAAGATGACCCAGTGCTGGTGGAGGATTATTTGCCGTAAGTATGCTAAAAGCCTATCATGCACAAAGAAGTTTTGGTATTAAATTTCATATCATGCTTTATACAACCTTAATGGTTTCATTGAATCTCAAGAGTTAGTTGGCAGTTGACTGGCCCTTGACCCTTTACTGCCCATATTGAGTTTCGCTGAGCTTAGCAGGATTTATAAGAACTTATACACTTCAGGTAAAAACACATGTCATCCTGGTACAAATTCTGAACCACTTGGAAGGCTTTCTCTTGAATGTAGATAGATGTGTTACAGAATTCCAGTGAAAAACTTTCCTGAATTACCCTTTATGATATTCTTTTTTTTTTTTATTTCAATGTTTGTTTATTCTTAGAGAGCATGAGTGAGGGAGGGGCAGAGCAAGAGAGGTGCACAGAATACAAAGCACGCTCCAGGCTCTAGCTGTCAGCACAGAGACAAGCACGGGGCTCGAACTCACAAGCCATGAGATCATGACCTGAGCCAAAGTCAGATGCCCAGCCGACTGAGCCACCCAGTAACCCTGATATTCTGGGTTTTTTAAAGCAGTTTAAGAAAGACTCATTAAGTGGGCCAAGAATCTGGCACTCTACCTCTCAACTCTCAAGTGACTTTCTGTTTCCTCTCTCGGGATCAGCTCCTGACTCCTTAGCATTCTCCTTGCTCACCTGTCCCAATCTCCTGTTTCACGTATTCTCTGTGCCCCATGGCGATTAACATGTGCATCCATCTTTTTCTTCTTGGAAGCTGGTAATTTAAATATGATCTCTGCTACTGACTCTTTCACTGACTGTGGTCTTCAGGCTATAAAATCTCAGATCAGTGTTGCCAACAGCCTGATTATTATCCCTGTGCTTAGTGCTGGTGATAATGCTGCTGTAACTCATGTGGCAAATAAAGAGATAAATCATGTGTATGTGTCTCAGTTGTAGTAGTTTTGCTTAAACAACTTCATTTATTCTCTCTTTTTTGAACAGAGTGGAAAATCTTTCAGCCAGAGGAAAGAACACAATCATCACTGTGCTTAATATTTCACAAGTGGAAAGTAGATTTTATCTATATCCATTTATCTGTGTTGCCAAGAATACAGATGGTATGAATTCGGCATATATCCAATTAATACATCCAGGTAAACAACAACATATTTGAAATGCAGTTTGGGTTTACTGTTGCAAGATTCCATGACTTTGAGATTCGCGATGCTATCGCCTCTGCTTAGAAGCTCTTGGATTCCTCTTAACCTGGCAAATTTCTATGCTTTCACTTGTCAGCTGAACTACTTCTAGGAAGCTTTCTCTCTTGCTGCCTGCTCTTAACAAGCTCTCTGCCCAAACAGATGAGGTTAGTGTCTCTGTTATATACTTTCAGAGAACCCTATGTCCCTGTCACAGTATCTGTCATACTTAGTTTTCTTTCCTTGAATTAAGTTCTATGTTGGTGCTGACCGTTTATCTTACCAATCATTCTGTATCCAGAGCTAGTAGTGACTTAAGTATGGTATATTGTAGGTACCTGATGAATATTTTTAGGTAAATGACAGCATAATGGATGAACAGGGGAAGCCTAAATATCCAGTTTCCAGAGAGGAAGTAAGAAATTACTAGTTCTCTTCAACTGTGTAATGAAACACAGTATTGAAAATTTTTGTGTAATATTTTGATTGTAGTTGAATAAAAATAGTGTATTTATAAATATGTACATGGAGGAAAATGTAAAAACCTAGAGACAGATGATTAGAATTAGTAAATGAATTTGGCACGATCACTAGTGTTTCTGTGGGTATGTGTTTAGGTGGGTGTGTTGTTGTGGGCAGGTTTATTCTAGAAGTCATATGGAAATGTAAAAGAACAAAAATAATCGAGATAGTCTTGCATAAAAACAAGAAATCTGGAAGATTTACACTACAGGTATCATGATCTTGTGTGAAGCTACAGTCATTAAGGCTATAAATGTGAACTATCCATTGGACCAGTTGGATATGGGTCTGGAAAATGTGCAATCCTGATTTCTAGTTCATACCCGAATCAACTGCAGATGGATTGAAGACCCAACAGGGAAATTAGAGTGATAGAGCTTTTAGATTCTCTTTTCTGGATGCCTGCATGGTCCCTGAGGTTTAGAAGGCACTTTCTTCTTTCTTCCCTACACCGTACCCATTACCCCTCCTTCACCTTACTTCTCTGCCCCTCCTCCACTGCAATCTTTGGGTGAATAATTAGAGAGTGAAGCTAAGAGAGTGTGGAAGAGTGAAACATACTATATGGGATTCCTAAGCCCTTTCTTTCCTCTCCCAGACTTCAGGTTTCCCCAGCTAACTCTTGTACCTCCAGAAACTTTTGTAGACTTTTGAGTGACTCTGACTTGTTTTACTCTGAAATGCTCTATTCTGTGGTCTTTGGCATTCTTTATTATGTGGCTGTATACAGTGGGCCCTTGAACAACATGGGGATTAGAAACACCAATGCTCTCATTCCTGGTCAAAAGTTGAGTATAACTTTGACTCTCCCAAAACTTAACTACTTATAGTCTATTGTTGACCAGAAGCGTGCTGGATAACATGAACAGTTGAGTAACACATATTTTGCATGTTGTATGTATTATATACTGTATGCTTATGCTTACAAAAAAGTAAGCATAAAAGAAAATGCTATTAAGAAAATCATAAGGAAAATACATTTACAGCACTTTACTGTAAAAAATGGACCCAGAGAGTCCAAACCTGTATTGCTCGAGGGTCAACTGTATTATAATATTTAGGTGGAAATTTAATACAATGTACCTCAGTTTTATACAGTATCAATTCTAGACAGCTTTGTACATTAGTATGCATTACTAAGTTGTGATAATGAATAGGTTAATATTGTCTGGGATTTGGGATTGCAGGCCAATCCCAAAAATGGTCTCTTTGGGATGATAATATTTAATTTGGTATGCTCCAATTTTTAATTCTTCTGGTTCCAACGTATTTTTTTCCTTTTTTCTTCCATAGTCCCTGATTTCAAGAAGCACACAATTGGTATATTTGTCATGTTAACTCTAGTAATTACATGCTCTGCTTTCATCTACAAAATCTTCAAGGTTGACATTGTGCTGTGGTACAGGGATTCTTGCTATGATTTTCTCCCCCCAAAAGGTACAATTTTGTATTCTATTCAATATTTCCTTGCTGGAGATAAGGGGTAGTTAAGCAATGTAGAAGAGAGCTGAGAGGGTTTTTACTTAAATTGTAAAATGAAATGTGACCTATACAAGAATAGTAACTATTCTTATATATAATTATAGTTTTGGAACTGAATAGACTGAATATCATTGTTTTCCAAGTTACTACTTTGGTGTTCACAATGGTGGGATAAACAGGCACTGAGAACATCTGTTGGTAAATCCAGGATGTGTTGTTTGAGCGCCTGCTCCATGCTGGTTAGGACATAGATGACTCCATGATCTGCCTCCAAAGGAAAGAAATGATGATTTTCATGTGTCAGGGAAGCTTTCACTTTCTCCTTTGTTTAAGCCTTGCAAAAAAAAAAAAAAAAAATACTACAATAATACATAAAAGGAAGAATGTATAGAATTCAGGGCCAAGACAACTGGGAAAGAAGAAAAGACCAGTGACGGAGAGCCTGGGTGGCTCAGTCGTTTAAGCTTCTGACTTTGGTTCACGTCATGATCTCATAGTTCGTGGGTTCGAGCCCCACGTCGGGCTCTGTGCTGACAGCCAGCTCAGAGCCTGGAGCCTGTTTCACATTCTGTGTCTCCCTCTTTCTCTGACCCTCCCCTGCTCCCACTGTCTCTCTCTCTCTCTGAAATAAATAAAACATTAAAAAAATTAGAAAAGACCAGCAAGGCAAGGATAGTTCCCAGACCAAGAGGTAAACAATCTCTGCATAGGAAGTGGCCGTTCAGCAACATAAGAACACCTTCATAGTAAAGCACAATACATAGAAACTTGTAGATGAACACTTCAAACAGTTATTAGACTTCTGGCATCGCTACTTCATTCTTACCATCACACACACATGAAATTAATAATTCATTCTGAAGTGCATGTTTGGGATGCTGACTTTACCAGATCTCTTGTTGCAAATGGACTGGGTCCAAATACATCTAAATATTTTATGTTTCCCCCTCAAGCTTCAGATGGAAAGACCTATGATGCATACATACTATATCCAAAGACCCTTGGGGAAGGGTCCACCTCGAATTCAGATACTTTTGTGTTTAAAGTCCTGCCTGAGGTCTTGGAAAAACAGTGTGGATATAAGCTGTTCATTTATGGAAGGGACGCCTATGTTGGGGAAGGTATGTGTGTCAAAGAAAAAAAAATGGTTGTAAAAATAATTGCTAAAGCTAGGTTTCATCTTTCAGGAAGAACTGTGGCATTAGGTGTGCATATTTGGTAGTTTCAAGAACTTCCTCAGTGGTGGGTGTTGATGATTTCCACATCTATTAAGTGCAAAATGTACTACTTACTTTTCTTGTATTTTGTCGGCACAGGAATTAACAAAGTTTTATTTATTTTTAGAAAACTTCAGAACTAGTTAGATCTGCTAGTTACTTTACAACTGAGACAGTAAAATAGGAGTGGAATAGATCAAATGGTTTAAGGTTTTAAAGTTTCTACCAGGAGTATTCTGAGTCCTAAATGAAATCTTGAGCTTTTGTGGGCGGGTTTTAAGCTGGTGTATAAAATCAGAAACGTCTTTAATTAGGATGAGAAAAGAACATTGGAAGACATAGGGGATGGGGGTCGGCTTTTGGCTTGGGAGCGAATGATTATAAATTGAAATTTTACGTACTCTGCCGGGCTTCCTGTTTTTCAGACATTGCTGATGTCACTAATGAAAACATAAAGAAAAGCAGAAGACTGATCATCGTTTTGGTCCCAGAAGCATCAGGATTGGGCTGGCTGGGGAATTCATCTGAAGAGCAGATAGCAATGTACAATGCTTTCGTTCAGGACGGGATTAAAGTTGTACTGCTTGAACTGGAGACAATCCAAGACTATGAGAAAATGCCAGAGACCATTAAATTCATTAAGCAGAAACGCGGGGCCATACGCTGGTCAGGGGATTTTAGAGAGGGCGTGCAGTCTGCAAAGACAAGGTTCTGGAAGAATGTCAGGTACCACATGCCTGTCCAGCGACAGCCACCTTCGTCCAAACACCAGCTACTGTCCCTGGCTCTGAGACCAGACTCTAAGAAGAAGCTTCCGAGGGAGGTGCAGGTGCCTCTCGGGTAGCAGGGAGAAGCTTGGCCAAGAATTCCTTGTGACTCCTGTCCTCCGGCATCACAGGCCGGGCTGTGCCCGCACTGACTGTACAGTCATAAAATGCCCACGTAGAGTCCCTTATCCTTGAGATCACCTGGAATCGGATTGCTCAGGGAACAGGATGTGGTGACGGTAGCAGGTCAGGGCAGTTCAGAATGAGGGCTCACAAGTCCTTTGAAACTGGGCCCCGGACGTCCCGTCTGAATGTTTGAACTGCTGAGAACAGACACCAGGACAGCAAAGAACAATAAGAACAACTAAGAACAATCAGGAAACATTTACCCTCCAAAAAGGTTTTTTGGCGCTGTCCACAGTCCAGGGAGGGCAGCTGTGGCCCGGCCCGGGGACGGCACAGTCACCGGCTCCCCCAGGGGCTTCCCTTGGCGCTGCAGCAGGCCAAGTGAGACTGGTATTTCACAGAGGAGGAAAGAAGCATGCTTGGAGAACTTTCCATTTGCTCTGCACTTTCCCTACTCATTGACAGCCGGCAGTCAGTTTCCAAAGACTGAATTTCATTTCGTGGCCCTTTAAAATTCTCATTTCAGTAAAGAAAGGATTGCACGTTTTTGAGATCACCTTAGCTTTCTGCTGGAGAGAGAGCATTTCCGAAGCAGGAGTAGCAGAGAATTGATGCACCTCCGGACGCCATCCCCCCTGGAACGACCCTTCTGTCGCACCTTCCTCTTGCACATTCCACTTGACTCATCTTTGGAAGGACAGCTTCTCAGTCCCTTTCTCCTTCCTCTCAATCGCACACCTGGGCCATGGATTCACCTTCCTTCATACAGTGCTGCTCTAAGCTCCTAAAAACACCTCTGCGGGCTCCTCCTGGTTTAGGACTTAAAGCCCAATTCCCCACTTGCATTTCACCGCTGCCGCCCCCTTCCCTACCCCACCCCCCCACCGCCCCGGTCTGTCTGCACAGCTGTGCCCCTCACTGTCCTGCTCTGTGAACTCCCACATCAGCCTTTGGGCCCCTTCATACCTGCGCCTCGTGCTCCTTCATCTCTGCTTCTCCTTCCTGTCTCCTCTGACCAAAATGCCTTCTGGAATTTTCTCCAGCCCGCCAGAGTTGTATGAAATTCAGGATTTACCCTAGCTCTGTTTCTCGAAGAGATTTCCCCAAGAAACTGCCCTAAGACACCTGCTGTCTGGTGTCGGTCTGACTACAGCACGTGGTCCATTGGCCATCACTTAATGAGAAGGTTGTTCTATGTCCAGCTAGAGACCCTGCTGTCTGCAGGAGAGGCTGGGGGTGTGTCTCCTGTAGGCTGTGGTGCCTGCACTTGTGACATAGGTTTGTGTGGGGCTTTCTTGTTGAAGAGTGTCCACAGGTTCTCATATTTAAGTTTTGCAATCATCCGAATTTTACAGAGAAAATAAGTGACCTGTCTTTTTAAAAATCACGCTTAGTGCTGTCTGACCTAGGCCTTCTAGCTCCGTCGCTGGCTTCTTAGTGCGCTGTCCTGAACGCTTGACTTCAGGTCATCGAATGTCCCCTTGGCCCCTACCCTGGCACTTTTGTGAGAAGAAATGACCGTCTTCCGGGAGGGTGGCCGAGTCTAGAGATGCTCTCATTTAAGAAACCAAATTCTAAATTTCTGAGCGTTGGAATTTCCAAAAATTGTTTCGATTTTACGGAAAATGTTTCTGCTCTCCTAGATTCTTTCCCAAAAGGTAGATATTTCTTAGTGAATTAAAAATGAAAGCAAGTTGGTGTTTTGGTCCAGGACATGGTATTTTAAAATGTGATCATAGTCCTCAGAGAAACCCTGGAAAACTGCAAAGCCAAGTTCACGTGCCATTTGCTGAGGGACATGTGTACCATTTTAGAAGTTGTATGAACATGGACAGGCCCTTTGTTTTTTTAATTTTTTAAGTTTAACGTTATGGGTGAACACAGCCTCATCTAGTATATTTTTCTCCCCGAAGGTGGTCAGAGCCAGACAGAAACAGAGTTGAACGCTTTGCCTCTCCTCTCTCCACCTGCTTTTTCTTGGATCCAATCTGACAGCACCAAGTAATTGTGCTGTTTTGCGACTGTTGCTGCTGCTGTTTTTAAAAAACTGCCTTACTTTTATTTGCCGGAACACGCGGACTGTAGCCAGAAGTCTGAGGGGCTCGGGTGGGGGGGCTGATGCTTAGAACGTATAATGTTGTTGATCATTTGTAGTCTGTCATCTGTAAAATATACTTGCCGTGTAGTCCCACGAAAGCCAATTCTGAATATTAGACTTGGCAGCAAAGTTGGCCAGAAAGTAAGGAGCAGGGAGAATAACCAAGAATTGTCAGTGGCATTTGCACCTGGCATTTCGGAAGGGACAAGAACCAAGGGATGTTTCTGGGATCCAGTCTGACAGCAGGAGGGACTGCTGGGGACCAGGAGGAGCCCCAACGGGAAAGTGCATGTCATCATGTCACTCCCGGTGCTCCCAGGGGAGGATTCCGGGGGAAGGAGCTACACTCCTAGCTCCCTGGGAACTTCCTTTGTTTTGTTGTTTTCCCTGAAAACCTCTTTTAAGCTCTTCCTTTCAGGCCTTTCCCATTAATTAGATTTTACTGCATTATCCGAAGGTGATTTTTTTGTTCCTGTGAGCTTTTAAAGGAAAGTTTGCCACAAAGCATTTCGCTTCCAGTTGTCCAAACTGGCTTAGCAGAATTTATATCTTCCTTCTCTCCCCCACCCCCCTTTGTTTATTTGCAATAACAGAAAAGGTAGTGAGCCATTTTTTCCCCAGTGGTATTTTTGATACATTATATTTTTACTGGTTGACGATGAAGGGTTTTTTAAAAACTTGTTTGTACCATTCTAAGCAGATACCAAGTATTTTTATATAAGAAAACACCAGATTCGTGTATAGCACGTATCACTGATTGATGGACTGTACTTGTTTTCCAATAAAATTGGCAAAAGCTGGTATTGAGTCTCCTCATTTAAATCCGTTTCCACGCCAGCCCTGCCCTGGGCTTCCCCGGCCACACTCCCAGGTCTGATGTAGGGTGAGCATACCTTCCGTCTGGGGAATTCAGGAACCCTGAGCCAGCCAGTGAACCCTGAATCCCATCTCTAGCCTCAAGTCTACTCCACTTGTTTGCTGGCTTCTAAAATGGATTAAAACGTGAGTTTTATTAGTGTTAACCCTTTACTAGTCCCCAAAAGACAAGGGCAACATTTGTATGGGCTGTTGTGCATTTTGCTTAGGGTTTCTGTTGATTTCCCCCGTTGACCCAGGAGGTGAACAGAATTGACAAACGTGTCCACAGTGCCAGCTCACAGTGCTCACAAACTGTAATAATGGTCAGAGAGCCCTCTGCATGGTCAGTGCTGCTCTGTTCTCACCTCGGAGCAATTCTCAGCAAGCAGGTGGCTCTGGCGGCACCTGGGGAGTGGGCTTGAGGACACAGGCCAACCGGGAGTCTGAGGACCCACCCTACATCCTGCCTCCAACTCGCTGTGCAAACTTGGAAAAATCGTTTGAGCACCAGTTTCCTCACCTGTAAAATGGGTATAATATCTAATTCATAGAGTTGTGAAAGGATCAGAAAGATGAAGTATATTCTGACAGGCACCATGCCTAGCGGGGCCCTCACAAAGTGGGAGCTTGGTGAGTAGCCATTCGATGAATAAACTTGGGTATCTCACATCATATTAGAATCTGCAAATAGAGTGGAGGGAGGAGAGTAATAAACCAGAAGTGGCAACTGACACCAAGGAGGAAGTAAAGCAATCAGAAAAATAAAGTACAAGTGGCCAGATGAAGCTGCAGGACACTGAGCCAGGAGCCCTGCTCCCCTCAGCCACAGCGTCTCTGTGTCACCGAGGGGCAGTGACTGATGTTCATTCAAGCTGACCCTCTGCCGGCCTTGGGCTTCGATGGATGTCTAATGTCTAAAGATAAGGGATTCCAGGGGTGCCTGGGTGGCGGGTGGCTCAGCTGGTTAAGCGTCCGACTTTTGATTTTGGCTCAGGTCATGATCTCATGGTTCTTGAGTTAAGCCCGCATTGGGCTCTGTGCTGACAGCATGGAGCCTGCTTGGGATTCTCTCTTCTTCTTCTCTCTCTCTCTCTCTCTCTCTCTCTGTTCCCCTTCGACCCCCCGCCCCATGCTTTCTCTCACAAATAAAAAAAATTATTTTTAATTAAAAACATTTTAAAAAATAAAGGGATTTAACACATTCCTGAAGGACTTTTCAATAAAAATGAAAAAAATGCAAGAACTTCAGAAAATTTCAGAATCAGCTATCCAGAAAACTTGCTTATACAGAATTTCTCACTGGAAAAATTCAGAAAGCTTTTTACTATATTTTGGTTATTTTACCAGTTAATATTTTTTTTAGCAAACAAAAAAAAAATCAATGCTAACCATTTAAAAAATTATTTAAAATGGGGCACCTGGGTGGCTCAGTCGGTTAAGCAGCCGACTTCAGTTCAGGTCATGATCTCGTGGTCTAGGAGTTCAAGCCCCACTTTGGGCTCTGTGCTAACAGCTCAGAGCCTGGAGCCTGCTTCTGATTCTGTGTCTCTCTGTCTCTCTGCCCCTCCTTTGCATGCTCTCTCTCTCTCTCTCTCAAAAATAATAAACATTAAAATGTGTATATATATATATATATAAATAATTTGAAGTGTTTTTTTTTTTTTGTCATGAGGATTTTTATTCTCTTTACTAAGTAGCTTTCTTAGAATGGGGTTTTTGTTTTCATGTTTTCTTTTTTTTTGTTTGTTTTGTTTTTGTTTTTTTTTGTTTTTGTCTCTAGAAATGTTTCTTAGTAGGGGTGCCATCTGGTGGAAAAAACATGAGTATAAATTCCTGCACTGTCGCGGTTTTGAAACTAGAGCAAAGCACTTGTTTGTTTTGTGTCTCCATTTTCTCATCTGTAAAATAAGACTTCCTGTGTTTCAAGGTGTTTATATGTGGAAAGACTCTGGCTGGTATCTGAGAAAGAATCTCAAAAAATATTTTAAAAAATGTTTGCCTTTTGATCCATACATATAAACCAAAAAATTATTTTTAAGTTTTTAGATTTTTTTTTAATTTTAGAGAGAGAGAGGGGGAGAGAGAGCACGTGGGGGAGAAGGGCAGAGGGAGAGAGAGAATCTTAAGCAGGCTCTACACTCAGCATGGAACACAAGCTAGGGCTCGATCCCATGACACTGGGATCATGACCTGAACCGAAATCAAGAGTCGGAGAGGGACTGAGCCACCCAAGCAACCCCTCAATTCATTTAGCCACAACATACCTTTTCCAGATTATAGAGTTTTGGGTGTGGAGGGAAAGGAGGGCATGTTATCTTGATGTTAACTTCTAAAATTGATAATAGCTTTTACTTAATCCAGTTTCAGCAAGTCAGGATCTGGCTAGTTATTTTTAATGTACACTTGACCCTGGAACAATGCAGGTTTCAACTGCACGTGGTTCTAGGGTCACCTGTTGTGTAAGTTTCGCAAATATTAAGTGGGGGGCTTATATGTATCGTATAGTTATAAAGCCAGATTTCCTCAGGCTAATTTGTCAGAAGAAAATCTTTTCACTTCTGAGACAAGAATCTGTGAGTGTGGTACATTGGGCTTGATGTGAAAGCCACAAAGGAGATGGAGGTGGGAAGAGAATGTTCTGGAGCTGGAATGGGGAAAGTTGTTCCTAAGATCCACAAATGGATCACGACAGTAGCCAAAATTCATAAAATAGGAAAAACAGATTACACAAAAAAGTACATGGGGAGATGGGTGGGAGGGATTTTTTTTGGTACACCAACATTTATTTTACAACCAAAATATGACTCTGTGTGCGCACACATGTGCGTGCGCAAATATTAGTTTTAGGGAGAAGAGTTACAGGAAATAGAAGACACTATTTAAAGTGAGTATTAACCTTTTAAAACCAAAACATGCTCATCTTAACACATGTGGCTCAGGGTTTGGCTGAAGTACATTAACACTGTGTGTTCACCTTAAGTCTGCAGCCCAAATACTAACACTGTAGTCAGGAATATTTGAACCTGCTAGACCAGTTGAGCCTGTCCCACTTGAATCTAGCCCCACGGGATGCTGTTGACTCCTTCAGGCCTGTGCTGGGAGTTGGGAGATTAATTTGCTCAGTGAAAGTCAGCGAAGCTTGTTTTCCTCAGAACCTTTGCCCTGGAAGTGATCCCACGTGTAGCTTAGTTCATACTCCAGGGTCTGAGATGAGCTGCATGAAAACCATTCCACAGGCTTCGCTGGTTTTCCTCTCACTAAATTTATGCTGAGAAAGAGAGGCTCCCAGGACTTCTTTAGTGAGAAGGGATTGCATGTTCAACAGCTTCCGTGGGATCCCACTTCTGCTTCACCCGCATGGCTAATCCTGCCTGGCTGCCACTCCTGTTTCTCTCGCTGCCAACTTACATCACTCATCCTGCTTAGCCTGAGACACGCGCGGCTTCTCGGGTGCCTTCACGGCTGTGCACAGTGGCCATCTGTTTGAACTCTACTGCTAAGAGGACATTTATAATTCTGCCTTCTTCTGAGCTCTTATTTCTGAAACCAGGACCCCACGTCCTCCCTTAGGTTCTCAAACATAGGGGAGATATCTTTGCTCTCAAGTTTACTTTTGGATTATTTTCAAAGGGCTAATTATGTGCCTCACATTATGCTAGACACCGAGAAAATTCTAAAGTCAGAAAACACTTAAATCTAGTCACAGAGAACACTGTGAAGAGAAAGCACATCAGGAAATGAACTTGTGTAGTAGAGGGTCTTAAATCCCTGACTAAAGTATCTGCCCTTTGCTATTTGGAGTTGGTATAGGGAGCTATTGGAGGTTTTGGATGGGATAACATTAGGCATAAATAAAGTGGTTGGGGGAGGGGTATAATGATGTAGGGGAATTAGGGAGTAAAAGTTTAGGGAGGCTGTTAGCAAGTAGGGATAGTAATGCCTCTATGAGTTGATTGTAGGAAAGTCATTTTCCTTAAATGAGTTAAAAAAAAAAAAAACCTTTTTTGTATTATGGAAACAATATTGGTTTGAGAGAATACAGAAATTTCTAAACAGTACACGTAAGAAAAAAGTCACCCATTATCTTACAACTTAAAAATTATTACTAACATTTTATTGTCTTTCTATTGATAAAAAAAACTGGGATCATATAATATGAGCAGTTTAATACTCTTACTTAGTAAAAGTATTTGCCTATGTTACTATTATTTGAAATGTGATCTCTGGGGGCACCTGGGTGGCTCAGTCAATTAAGCAACCGACTTCGGCTCAGGTCATGATCTCACGGTTTGTGGGTTTGAGCCCCACGTCGGGCTCTGTGCTGACAGCCAGCTCAGAGCGTGGAGTCTGTTTCAGATTCTGTGTCTCCCTCTCTCTCTGACCCTCCCCTGCTCACACTGTCTCTCTCTTTCTCTCTCAGAAATAAAACATTAAAAAAAGTAAGAAATGTGATCTCTGAGTGATGATTAAGCCTGCCAAGTGGATGGTCCATAATTTAGCTTTTGTGCTTTGGTTGGACATTCTTTGATCTACTCCAGTAGCCTCCTACCCGGGGCCATGTTTCTCCACTTGCTACCCAGTTCCTCATAATTCTTCACACCGTATCCAGAGATAAATTGCCTTTGATTTTTTCCCCCTTTATTGGAGTATAACCTACATCTGGAAAGGAGCACATACAGAAACAGGTCCATGAAGTTTCATAGGCACATTTCGCCCATACTGCCAGCATCCAGATCAAGAAAGGATGACGGTCAGCATGGGAGCAACCCGGTTATGTGTCCTCCAGAATACTTACAGCCCCTGGCCCAAGGGAAACCACCATTCTGACTTTCAATGGCAGAGATTAATTTTTCCTGTTTTTGAAATTTGTATAAAAGGAACCAAGTAGTATGATGTCTTTTTAAAATCTATTTTCTTTTGCTTAACATTATATAGATGTGAGATT